AGTGGGCATTATACTAATTGTTTATTTAAGAATGAGTGGCTCACGCCTGTAATCCTGGCACTCTTGGAGGCTGGTGGGTGGATCACTGAAGGTCAGGACTTCAAAACCAGCCTGAGCAAGAACGAGACCCCGTCTCTACTGAAAAAAATAGAAAGACATTAATTGGCCAACTAAAAATATATGGAAAAAATTAGCCGGGCATGGTGGCACATGCTTGTAGTCCCAGCTACTTGGGAGGCTGAGGCAGAAGGATGGCTTGAGCCCAGGAGTTTGAGGTTGCTGTGAGCTAGGCTGATGCCACAGGACTCTAGCCTGGGCAACAGAGTGAGACTCTGACTCAAAAAAAAGAATATCATTATTGAGCCAACATGGAATAAATCCACTATAGACTCTTTTTCCCGCTGATTATAATGAAAAACTGAACAAAATACAACAACAGAATGTTACATTTTTTTAAAAATGCATATGGAACATTCACCAAGGTAGACCATCTTCTGTGCCTTAATAGAACATTGTCAAAAGAATATTCTGGGCCGGGCGCGGTGGCTCACGCCTGTAATCCTAGCTCTCTGGGAGGCCGAGGCGGGCGGATTGCTCGAGGTCGGGAGTTCAAAACCAGCCTGAGCAAGAGCGAGACCCCGTCTCTACTATAAATAGAAAGAAACTAATTGGCCAACTAATATATATAGAAAAAATTAGCCGGGCATGGTGGCGCATGCCTGTAGTCCCAGCTACTTGGGAGGCTGAGACAGAAGGATCGCTTGAGCCCAGGAGTCTGAGGTTGCTGTGAGCTAGGCTGACGCCACGGCACTCACTCTAGCCTAGGCAACAAAGTGAGACTCTGTCTCAAAAAAAAAAAAAAAGAATATTCTGTGTCTTTAACAAAAGTAAACTACAAATCAATAACAGAAAGATGTAGAAATTCCAATATAATATTAGGAAATTAAGCAGTACACTTTCAAGTAACGCGTGAGTCAAAGTGCAACTCTTCAAGAAAATTGGAAAAATTTTGAATTTAAAATGAAAACATAACAGCAGTTGAGACAGGCAGGGTAAAGGCAAGGAAGGACTTGACTACAAAAGTGAGTGGCACAGAGAAATTTTGGAATTACTTCTTCTGTATTGTGATTATTGTGCTGGTTGTTAGAGGACTATACATTTACCAAAACTCAGAATCGTCCCCCAAAGAACTAATTTTATTTATGTAAATTAAAAATAAATTTTAAAAATTTGTGTTAATTTAACGGAATGCAGTTTTTTTTATAGTGATGTGTTTGGATGAGCTACTTGTCACAAGGCTGCTGGGGAAAAAAAGGAAGAAAAGCTACAGTATTTTTTAGTCGGAAGTGGGTATGACTCACAGTCACTTTTTTGCTTGAATCTTTAAAGGAATAAGAACATCTCCATTTAGAAATTTTGATTTAAAATGGTTGCTGTTGGGAAATAAAAAAGGAAGAAATGTTTCAGAGACTGAGCAACGACTGAGTGTATAGCCATAGAGCGAAATTAATGCAAGATGTTCACTATGAAAAATGTCATACACTCTGCACAATAAGATGCCATTTTATATACACGAAGATGATGCTATTCAATGGTGAAAAAATATGGATTTTATTGTTCAACTTAGTACACTTATAGAAACCTGTATTGGCACAATATGTAAACAATATAAAGCAAAATATGATGATCATTATTTCACAGACAAGTGTGCGGTTGTTCCCACATGTAAGTGTGTAAGTGATTTCTTTCTATTTTTATAGTAGAGATGGGGTCTCGCTCAGGCTGGTTTTGAACTCCTGACCTTGAGCAATCCACCCGCCTCAGCCTCCCAGAGTGCTAGGATTACAGGTGTGAGCCACTGCGCCCGGCTCATTGGTGGTTTTTAAAGGCTAAGTTGGGTGCAAATTCTGGAAGCTGTTTGACTCAGAGCAGATGGTAATATGCAGTTTTTCATGGAGAAGGAAACATAGGTAGTAATAATTGTAGCTGAGCCCTTAGCCGCCAGGGTGGCTGGAGTTCATTGCTAATAATGGCTGGGTGCCATTAGCCTTGACAAGTCTGAACCAGTCCTCAGCCGAAATTACATATGGTGGTCTTAGTGGAATTGGACACTACAGAAAGCTGATTCTCAGGTATGAGCAGAGTTCTGCATTAGTGGGTAGATAGCTATGACCCCATTTTACAGATTGGGAAAGCTCTGTGTGGCAGAACAAAAAAACTCTGAATCCTTCTACTCGAAGTTCTGACAGGAGTGGGTAAGACAATATGTTGTCTCCTTCCTATACTGGTGATTATTCAATATGTTGGCTCAAGAAATAATGTATATTACTTTAAAAGACTGGAAATCTATTTTTCTGTTTTTCATCTCATGTTTTCACCTATCACATCTATAACCCCATACTTTAAACATCTCACTTTGGGCATAGGTTATATATATATATTTCACTTCTGTGTAGTATACTAACGAGTAAATTGGTTATTTATTTTGATTACTACATTATCATTGTTTTGTTATTTAGAATTTGCTGAAAACACTGAAAACTTGAAGACCAAAATGTCGGAACTAAGACTCTACTGTGACCTCCTTGTTCAGCAAGTAGAGAAAACAAAAGAAGTGACCACAACTGGTGTGTCCAATTCTGAGGTAAAATATTATTTAACAGAGGAAATGTATACATTTTAGCATGTAGAAGTATATAGTTTTCCTTCCTGGAGTGAATTAGGATTGGAATTACAATTAATTGGCAACATTTGGAACCTTTAATTTTAGTACTGATTATACTAAAATATATTTCTCCATAGTTTACATTTTCCCCTCTTCCTTTCTTTTCCTCTACTATAAATAGAAGAAACTAATGGCCAACTAATATATATAAGAAAAAATTAGCCGGCATGGTGGCGCATGCCTGTAGTCCCAGCTACTTGGGAGGCTGAGACAGAAGGATCGCTTGAGCCCAGGAGTCTGAGGTTGCTGTGAGCTAGGCTGACGCCCCAC